TACGTTACGTTCGTTACGTTCGTTACGTTCGTTACGTTCGTTACGTTCGTTCGTTACGTTCGTTCGTCGTTCGTTCTCGTCTCGTCGTCTCTCTCTCTCTCTCTCTCTCTCTCTCTCTCTCTCTCTCTCTCTCTCTCTCTCTCTCTCTCTCTCTCTCTCTCTCTCTCTCTCTCTGCACATTTCTGTCTATAGTTGTATCTCTCTCTCTTTCAGTTCTGTTTTTCTTTCTCTAAAATTTCTCTTTCAATAGAGTTATATTATACTTTCTTCACTTTTAGATAATGTACAGAAATGAATTTGTTGTATTGCACTCAATTATTTAGGTTATTCTTTTTCTAGAAGGATTGTTAAAGTTGAGAATTTGGGGATGGCTGGGCATTGTGTCCTATCACTCTAGAGTGAATTATTTTATTTATTTTGACGAGTCTGAAAAATGTTCATATAAGTGTGTTTATGATGGGTTGCTTGAGATTAGATCTTCTCATTTGTGGCAACCAAAGAAATTGGTGTCATTCATGTAAAAAGAGTAAATGGGATCCCAATTTGACTGAGATTCTTCAAGTCATTCGAGCTCGACTTGGATCCCCCCAATAATCTAACTTCTGATATTATCTTATTTTCGTTTTTTATCATTCTTCTCCACAATTTTAAATATTGCAATTATCATATTCTGTTTATTAAATTATTGTTAGGTACTGTATTTCTTAGAATTCATTTGGTGTGATAGAATCGCACTTTGATGATCTTCTAATATACATGTTTTTATTTATGTGGTTGTTTGTTTGTTTGTCAAGTGTTTTTGTTTTCCCTTTTGAGTTCTTTCTGTGGCATCTCTTTTTTTTTCTGTTTTTCTATTATTTGGAGGTGCCATTGATGATTGAGATTCAAAATTGCATACAATGGTCTATTAGATTCTTTACTAATTTGTTTAACCTTTTTTCTTTTGCTTTCCTTTTTTTTTTCCCTATATCAGTTTATGTGTTCCACTTCTTGATGATGATGAGAAACCAATATTTTGTTTGAGGCTTAGTTTATTCTTGCTTTCCCTATTCCGATGCTTCTTTGTTATTGGTGTTGCATTAGTAGATCATCATTTGTATATGAGCTTATGTTAGTTGTTGATTGAGCGTTTCCTTTACTGTTATTAATGCATATATTTCTCTGCTCGTATTTTTTCTTCACAATGGTAGACTCACGATTGGTGATTCTTTGAGTTGCTTGTGTTGATTCATTTATAAATCTAAATTGATCTTTGTGTGGTTGTATGTGTGTGTGTGTACATCTGCCTGTTTTTCCTTGTCTCTGACTCACTGTTACTTCCTTTTTATGTTCTCTTTAGCTTTTTGATATTGTTATCCATCATGATATTAAAGAAATGGGATTGGCTAGACTTGTTTCTTTTCAACTTCCAAAGCAAGATTAGAAATTTAAAATATTGCTGGCTGATCTATTGGTTTGGTATTTTGAGTTCTTTTTAAGGACCAAAGAAGTGACAAATAACTATGAAATGCTTAGTTCATTGTTTCCTATTGTTGTGGTCACACATACGGACATACACACACACATATAAATGCTTCCAAAACTCATGAATTAGTTTATTTGTTTCTTTTGGTTGCACGATTTGATGTTAAATATAGATTTTTAAGAGTTAGCATCATTATGTCAGTTTGCTGGTTAATTATTAACAAAGATGTCTGAAGCTAGTGAGAATGAGAACACTCTAGAAAGCCAAGTGGTTCCAATAGGTCCAACTCCTCAAAGGAAGTTAAAATCTAAAGTTTGGGAGGATTTTACTCTAGAAATTAAACAAGATGGAACTAGAAATGCCATTTGTAAGCATTGTAATCGTACCTTTGTGGCAAAAATGAGTGATGGGACAACCCACCTTCTTCATCATATTAAAGGTTGTCTTAGTCATCCACATCAGGATTTGCATCTGTCACTGGCTGGGGAGCTTGAAACATTTTAAGTTTGACCAAAAAATAAGTCGTAAAGTGCTTGAAAAAATGCTTATAATTCAAGAGTACCCCTTTGGTATGGTTGAGCACCCTTGTTTTATTGAATTTGTTAAGAACCTTCAACCCAAGGTTAAGATGGTAGGACAAACTACAATAAAGAATGATTGCATGGTTGTATATCAAGAGAAGAAAAAAAGTAATTTTTGATGTTTTAGAGAGATCAAATGGTCGAGTGAACCTTACCAGTGACCTTTGGACATCCAATAAATCTCTTGGATATATGTGTCACAAGGCGCACTATATAGATAGTGATTGGATTTTAAGAAAAGAAATCATAAACTTCAAGTTGGTACCATATCCGCACACAGGTTTAGTTATTTTTGATGCAATTGAAGGATGTATTTTTTATTAGAATTTGAAAGATAAATTGTGCGTTTATTACTATGGATAATTGCACTACTAATGATCTCGTTGTGAAGAAATTAAAAGAGAATATTTCCTAAAAGCTTTTACTTGGAGAGAATCACTTTCACATGAGATGTTGTGCACACATTTTGAACATTATAGTGCAAGCAGGGTTGAAAGTAATACATAGTGCTATTGAAAATGTGCGTGAGATTGTTAAATAGGTGAAGGCATCTCCATCTCGCATGCAAATATTTAATGAAATCGCACAACAGTTAAG